TGCTTGGTGAATATTGAGGACTCCAATTTACAACACGTTATCAGCACGCTCTAATCTTTGTTTATCATCATATCAACTGCAAACCCACGGCTCAGTTCTCCAATTGCCACAAGCCAATTTTCTTCTAAATCGCCTGAAAGTAGGTACGGTTCTTAATTGTACGATTTTGGAGATTATTCAGTTGAATAATTCAACCTATTACTTGTTTGATTATTTCTGTTAATTCAGCCTATTTCTGGTTCGGTTATAAATTATCTCGAGAAATTTTATTGTTAGTTTTTATCAAATCTGCAATATTTACAGTTACCCGAACAACAAAATTGGTTTTACTGCACATGATGTTTTTGATAAAATGCTCCCGCACAACAAAATTGGTTTTACTACGAATCTGGCTTTTTATTGGCCGAAGCATTACAATACAATTGTCATTATATTACCCATGTAACCATTTCTTAAATTATTGTGAGTTTTTTTTAAAATTTTTAATCCCAGCCGTACCACCTCTTCTTTTGCTTGGAGACTTTTTCAGCGTAAAAGACCGACTGATCTGATCTTCTGTCTAATACAGTGGATATACTCACTTTAGGTTGATCATATATTTATGTTAGCCCCATTGAATTTTATCATCCATTTTAGTAAGTTTAATCTTTGATTTGATTCTTGAGTTTTTATGAAAAAAAATAGAGAATTTATTTTCTTAATGGAGATCAGATATGTAAGGCAAGTGCAATTACTAGATTCAAGAATCTACCTTAATATCTTATAAGGAAACATTAGGATCATTTAAAATTTGACACGTGGCTCAACATTTGGCCTCCTTTTGCTGCTTTCGTTTTGCCTCACTTGGGAGGAGGTTAGAATGGTCATTAAACCTTGTCTTACCAAATTCTATTGTCATTCATTTCCCCACTCTTTACAACAAAATGGTACCAGATCTTCACTTTCTCCACGAGAAGGCTAGGGTTTTGGCTATTTTTGGACGCCGAGATGGCCTCACCCTGTCCCCGGGTAGCATTCTTAGCGCCCGATCCATCAACAACCGCAACATCCACCGTGTCTGAAGACACGTCCGAAGTTTTCTCCGCCTTCCTCAACACGTCGTTCAGATCGGCGGTAAAAACGCGATGGATCCGTCGTGCTTCATCTGCTCGGTGGCAAACTTCAGGGAAGACAATGATTTCACGCCGTTTCGAGGCCGACAGCTTGTAGCGGTCGCATCACCACACTTTCGGGCTATGCACAACCCAGCAGAGTCCAACAGTGACCACAACTTCTACTCCTTGGAGTGGACTCTGCAGCACTTCTTCTCTCCCTCGCCAGAAAATTCCCATTTCAAGATCGTCGGTCACGACAACCCCTTGTCGTCTACCGTCATCGGCATCGGTGGCCTCGGTAATAAATTTTTACAATTCGTATCCCTGCATTGTCCCATCGTTCTTCCTTTTGATTTTGTAGTTACGAAAATAGGAGATGCGATTAATTTTATAAAATTATTTTTTTCATTTAATTTTTTTGATGTCTGTTTTTTGTAGGTTCTATCAAAGTGTTGCCGATTGTGGAGGTGGATCTGTGCACAAAAAAATCTGTAATTTTCACTGATTAATTTCCATTTTTCTTTAAACTCTATTTTATTATATTATATGGAAAATTTGTTTGAATTTGTTCAGTAATTCATGAAAAATAAAACCAATGCCTTGAGTTGTGCTGCTAAAATCAAGTTTAAGCGGCCTTTAATCTTCTCAATGTGATTTGTACCCATGTTTTGTAGCAAAAAGTTCTGTATATTTTGCTTTAGATTTGCCTATTTGGTAAAAGTGTATATGAGGAAAAAAAAAAAAGAAAGAAAGAAATTTCGTAAAGTTGCTCATAATTCTGGCTTATATCGATATACATGTGCCAAAGATGTTGCCTATAGTCTTCGAAATTGATGTTACATGTTTCGAGAGTGCGCTTCAATATTAAAATTAGGCTTTTTTGTTTGTGTTGTATACATGAACATATGAATAATGTGATTTTGAGGTTGTTGATAGTGATGCCTGGAATGTTCTATGTGAGGCTGTAGATAAACACCATGCTTCTGTGTTAGTTGTTGGCAGCCATGGTTGTGGAGCTATTAAGAGGTACTTAACCACTTAGTTTCCTCTTATTTTTTTCCACCATTCCTAAATATCGGGTTCATTGAAAAGCTACTCATTCTTCTTGTTAATGGGTGATTTATGAAAAAAAAAACATGGTGTTGCAGGGCTGTTTTGGGTAGTGTAAGTGATTATTGCGTTCACGGATTATTTCTTTTCATGTTGAATACTGATTGAGTGTATATATTTTGTGCTCGGGCATGTTCGAAAGAGGCCTGGGAGGCACATGTGACAAACAACGCCTTGGAGAAGGCTTGACGTGTGAAAAACGTCTCCAGCAAAGATGACAAGACCGAGCTTCAACTGTGGCACGTAAGGTTTGTTTCTCCACCTATATCTTTATTTTTCTCCAACAATCTCATACTTTTTTTATCATTTTATTTTCTTGCAGGTGATAGCTACTTGGAGCTATTAGGAACTTGTATTTGAGGTATGATTTTTCCAATTAGCATGTCCTTGCCAATAAAAGAATGTTGTGCCTAAATTTAATATATTTCTATGATTTGAAATTTTAGATTTTTACATTTCTATTTAGTGTGGCTATGTTTTTAAAATATACTTGTGACATTAAAAAAGTAGAAACAAAGGTCGACTTATGTTGCACATTACCGTCGTCAAGTATATTTAGCTGTTTGGTTTGTTTATTGTTTGTACAAACTCACCTTTTGTGGAATGAAAAATTCAAGATTTTTTTTTTCTTTAAATTGGCAGCTATTTGATTATCTTAAAACATAGATTGCTCGGTGGATTATTGTACAACTATGTGTTTAGACTTGGGGCCTGCTTTTCTGACTTGCAATAAGGTACGCCCACAGCTGTATTCAACAATCGTTACATTTTCTTGTCAAAATAACTCCACGAGCGTATTCAACAGTCATTAAATTCAGTTCTACGTCCAATACCAATTTAAGAACGTTTTTAGTTTCTGGATTCCAAAGTAAACACAATTAAGATTGCCTATTTTGAAAAATCAAGAGTTGTAGTTGTTTATTTGATATTCTTTTTTTAGGTGTCATCCTGGTAGAATTCATTAGTCCATAATTCTTATGTCAAATCTTTGTCTTCAATATGTGATATGAAGTAATTATACTTTCTGGTAGGCTGTGATGGCAATTAACGTTGCGATTGCACAATTTTGATTTTTGGACAGCCATCTGGTAGATGTTACAAAATAATTGCTAAGATAGTAATCTTTAGAAGTTGATTTTGTAAAGTTCTCTGTGCCAAGCTTTCTGGAATTAGCAAATATTTCTTTGGCTCGTCTGTAATAATTCCATGCACGTTCACTCCGAACATGGATATGTTTACCCACATTGATGCTATTTTTGGTTGGTTCTAGATTGAACTGCAATTTTCTTTGTGTGTATTTGTTATTTCTTCTAAAGAACATTGCATTGGGACTGACAATCTTCTATTTCAAGGCATTTTCTGGATTTTATGGGAAGTCGGTGTATGATGGCTGGTACGTTGTTGTTCAATGTTGTTCGCTTGTGATTGTCTGTCATTTATCTTGGCGTCTTTGAACATGATGTGAATTCTGACGTATGTTTGCAAGTTAGTTATTATATACCAATGTTTTAGCTAGGGCTGGTACACTATCCATTGTGTTCCAGTTTTCAATAAACCAAAAGGCCTTGGACAAAGTTGACTAAAGTTACAGGTAATAAGTTGCTTATGGTCAGACTGAGAGTAGGATAGTCAGGTTATAACATGAACAAATGTGAAACATGTTAAAACAATACATTTGTCATCATTATAAGATACACTATGTATGTTAGGGTTCGTAATTTATCTAAAACTAATACACGAGAATTGGACGAACATCCGGTGCATTAGTTTGGACTTCAAAGTGATTTTAATATTAAATTTTAAGCACATCAATATGTTTTGGAGCATGATTCGAAGATGGGGAAGGCACTCGCTAAGTGATGTCGATTAATGAATCTGATAGTACATATTTTTGTTTATTTTATGATTTGCTTTCTCTTGCAATTTGTAATTGCATCTGTACTTTTTCTTTTCACTTTTTTGTTTTGGCGCAGGTAGGTGTTAGATTAACGAGACTCCGGTGTGAAAATTTCGTGGCCATCTTGGGTGCTTAGATTTACACCTTTGCAAAAGAACGCGTGGAAGCCTTGACTAGACCCTTCTTTTTCTCCTTTAGAAATTATAATAAATTTAAAAAAAATAACTAATTTAATGAAACATATTACTTTTCATCATAATGCATGTGATGTTGGAATTTTTGTTGGTCATTTAATTGGTTACTTATCTATTCTATCTTTGCCATTGTTTATGATAATCAATTCCGTTTTTTACCTATTGGTTGAGAGAGCCTTTTTTATGATAAGTTTCTTTTGTTTCTTAAGCATTACCTTACTATAATAAAGGTTTCAATGCCTTCACATGAAGACAGGTGAATTGCCCTGGCCCGTTGTCCGACAACTGGAGCATGTTTTAGCCCTAAGGTAAATCTAAAATGTTATCATTGGTCGGTAACCTAAAGTCGACACCTATTTAAGTCGACTCCCCCATTTTCTCCGTCAAACCGTACAAGTCTTTTTTTTTTCCCATTGTTCAATTTCTTCCGTTGCCACAGAGAGGAAGCAATTATCCGATGCAATAGAGTACTTGATGGAGACGGCGGCGGCGGACGCAGTGAATGCGATCATAAAATCGCCCTTCGTGAACAGCCAGTCGGAGTCCAATGAGTTCGTTGATTCGGGTCCAGTTAGGGTAGACTCTAACGAGTTTTCCAACTTCCAGTCGTCTGTGCATCTTGCCCAGGACCAGGTGACATAAGAAGCATGTCCTATGTCCAATTGTTCTATCATTGCTTGGTTTAGTTTCATCGGGTTTCGACTACTGGTGAGTATCTTTCACTCCATTTTCCTTTTCTGTGTGAATTTAGCTAAAATTCCTTTGCAGACCGAGTTCACAAACTGAAGTCTTTTTTTCTTAGTATTTTCATGTACTAATCTTTTTTTTTTT